GCAATTTGGAAATTATGTAATAGGGAAGGTAAGCCTTCCGGTCACCTTGGGTCATGGTGGTATCCATCCAGTTCGGGACTCATTTTCTACCTTCAAACGAAGCCATCTTTGGTGTTGTGACATCTCATGCTCCCTCTGGTCCCGGCCACTCCTGCGCAGCAGCTGGAAGGCACAGATTCCCTGAGGAGCCGCTGGGGAGGTGTGCATGGGCTGTGGCCCGGGGCCTCAAAGAGCACACTCTCAGCCGATCAGCGGCCTGAAACGGGTCCTCAAGATGTGGCGTCTCCTGAGGGAGGTGGGCTGACCCTGCACTAAGATGAGGGTGTCCTGCCCCAGACCTCCGTCTGGAATGGCTGTCTGTCTCGGTGGCCTGAGAGTGAACAGGAAGGGTGGGGTGAGCTGGGAAGAGAGGAGGGTGTGGGGCGAGGGGCAGCCTGTGTGCCGGGGGCAGGGGGCAGATGGGAGCTTCTTTCATTTTAAAAAAATGGACACGTATACATCATCGTGAATACTGTGAGGTCCGTTGTGAAGTTTCAGTGCACAGGTACCTGGTGTCTTGGTCAAATCAGGAGGATTAGCAAGCACATCCATGGCGCCTCAAATATTTACTAATGATTCTCCATGGTGAAACATTAAAAAATTCTCTCCTCTGGCTGTTTGGAGACATTCAGTGAGGATGGGGACGTCTCTCAGTGGTAGAGTACTTGCTTAGTGCACGCAAGGCCCTGGGTTCCACTCCCACCCCACCCCGAAAGAGAAATGAACCCCTCTTTATTGATCCAGTCTCCCTGCTGTGCAGCAGGGCACCAGTGTGCATCCCTCTTAGCTAACTGTAACTTCGGACACCGGCCAACCCTTGCCCTCTTCCCAGCCGGGGAACACCCGTCACCTCTAAGACTTCAGCTCGTTTTAGATTCCGCCGAAGGAGAGAGCGTGTGGTCTTTGTCTCTCTGGGCCTGGCTTTTTCCGCTTCACCCCATGTCCTCCACTTCCACCTGTGTTGTCGCAGCGCTGGGACCTCGCGCCTCCTCCGGGCCTAGCGGGTTTCCACTGCGTGGGGGAACCAACTTCCCATCCACGCATCCACGTCTGTGGCTTAGAACTGCAGCTGTCTGTGTCACGGCGTCTCGAGCCTCTGGGTGCACGCAGCCCATGCTCAGCTTCTCAGCCAGCACCTCGGGCAAGCTGTTGAGCTTCCCAATGGCTGCGTTTGTTTCCGCATCGATGAATGGGGGTGCTCGTGGCCTTGCCTCATCGGGCGAGGGGAGGCACAGGGGGAGATGCGGGTGTGTGCTCAGCGGCGGTCCACAGATGCGAGTCTACACTGCATCCAAGCTGGGTCTGAAGCCCACTCGGAGCTGTGAGCCTGCTGCACATCCAGGCACGTGACCCGAGTTCCCTGTGCCTCAGTTTTCTCCTGTCATGGAGGCCGTTACAGCGTGCACCTCCTGGCTGGCGTGAAAGAGGAACTGCTTTTATTTGGAAAGTCTTTGCCCACTGAGCCTTAGGATGCACCGTGCGGCTGTGGAAGGTGTTGCCACACTTGTGAATGACAAGTCCTTGAACAGCCAGGGTGGAGGTGAAGACCGAGCCCGTTGTGGGAGTGGGCTGTGACCAGGAAGAGAATGGTGGCTTTGGGGAGCAGAGCTGGGGGCTGACATCGGTGCAGAGCCTTTAGCCTCCACTCCAGGAATAAAACAACCATCAAAATCCAATCAATGACTTCCAGGAAGGAAAGAAAGTACTGTAATTACCCTAACTATGGAGGCCCGAAGATGTCTTCCTTATGAGAGTCACGCAGTGATTCCTGGGCACACAAGGACAGCCCACTCTACCAGAACCAACAATTTCCATGAAGCCAAACAAAGATAAAAATGTAAATATGTAGGGGAGGGCTGGCAGGGATGAAAGCACTCACAATAACTAAGTAGAAATGCAGGGCTTGGGTGTAGCTCAGTCGTAGACTGCTTGCCTAGCATGTGCAAAGGCCCTGGGTCCAATTCTAAACTCCACATAAAAAGTAAATAAATATTAACAGCCAAGGTGCAAAAGAAAGAAAATAGTAGACTTCAGGCAACAGGAAACCTAAAAAGAAAATATATATTTCAAAAAGGTCCGCCACCTGCTCATCTCCTCCCCAAGAAATTGTGTCCCCAACAAATTGACAGGAGTAACTTAGAAGCTGTGACCTCCAATAGATGGCTTGGACAAAAAGCCCCAGGGAGGCCAGGGGAGGAACTCACGGAGAAGAAGCCCCAGTCCCCTCCACCCCAGCCCTGGGACGCAGGTAGGAGGAGAGCTGGGGGTGAGGACAGGCAGGAAACTCACCGGTGGGAGGGCTCAGCCCAGGATCCTGTCCTCATGAGAGCCAGGCCACATGGGGCCCTGGAAAGCCTGGCTAGGGCAAAGCCAGCTGTGTCAGAGGAGTTCAGAGGCTCCATGCAGGGGCACAGGGAGCCCCGGGACACGGTGAGCTTCTTCCCTTCTGTGTTGGCATAGAACACAGAATTCTTCCCTACCCTGAGTTCAGCAGCAGGGCCAGCTGGATTGTTTGTCTTTTCCAGAATCTTCACGGGGAAAGGCCCGCTGCCCTGTGCTGTGGAATTCTGGTGGGCGCCGGGAGAGCCACAGTGTGGAGAGCCAGCTCCTGCGCGCCCACAGGGCTGCTGTGCCACGAAGACCTCGCACGGCCGCAGGCTGAAGGCTGCAGGCAGGAGCTCCAGGCTCTGAGTGAACTGGGCAGGTTAGGACAGGAACAGAAGGCCAGCCCACACACGGGCGGCTCAGCACCGAGGACTTCCTCCTTTGGCCTCACAGCTGCATTTCCAGGGAGGGGAGTGGTGCCTTCTAGAAGGCTGCTGGCCTCTGTGCGTTTTGCTCCCTGCTGCCTTGGCGTTCAGGGTCTTGGACGTTGGTGCACGCCAGCACCTGTGTTTGTGCACCTACCTCCAAGGAGGCTGGGCATCTTTGATCCCTACGGGTGACAGTTAGGGTCCAGATGCCTTTGTGGACAGTCAGGGGGCAGGACAGGGACTCGGGACTTGCCAAGGCTCCAGGATGGTGACTTTGTGCTCCCAGCTACCTGAACGTCCCTGGGGGCCATTCAGGCTCAGTGCCAAGGTAGAGCCCGAGGAAGGCCGTGTGGCAGAACCTGCAGGTTTGGAGCAGAGGGTGAGACGAGCAGCTACCATGTGACATAAGCCTGCTTGAGCCATCATCCTTTCCTTCCTCAGTTTCCCCCACCCGCCCCTCTCTGTTGAAGCCTCCTCTTGTGGCTGACACCCATGATCAGCATTGCTCTTTTCCTTTGTTGAGAGGGACCCTTTGGGGGACAGCTGCGGACGTCGTATGGATGATGGACGAGGTGTCAGGGTTCCACCCGGCAGGTCCTCGGTGGGTACCCCGAGCCCCTCGTCCTGCTGACGACTCCGTGTTTCTGTGGCAGATGACGCACTTGCCATCAGACCACTGCCATCAGAGTAGGTGGTCAGCCAGCGCTTGTTGACGGATGAACCTGTGACCCCAATTTCTAGATGAGGAAGTGGGCTTGGAGTTAAATACGTGGAGACTGTCCGAGGGCAAGGCCGCTGCAGACCTGCTGGGCTTTCCCCTGGACCAGGCCCCCTCAGCCAACCCAGGAGCCCTTCTCGCAGACACCCTGTCACCCGCTTCCTGTCCCAAGCCCTTCCTGCGCCCTGCATGGACCTGCCCAGTGCCCAGTCCCTGAGCTGCCCCACCGCACACACTGTGATGGATTCTGAGTCACGCAAGGATGAGGAGGCTGTCAGGGGCTTCTCTCATGAGACAGTCTTCTCCACGACCTCCCTGCAGTGAGTGTGCTCCTGGGGACGCTGGAGGGGCCCCTGCCCCTGAGCTTCCACTCTCCTGTTCCCTGCCTGGCTCTTCCCCTGCAGTGCCGAGCAGGAAGGTTTCCCCTCTGGAGAGGCCGCTCCAGGAGGGCAGGGCTGGGCCTTGCGCGGCTGCAGGCCCCATGGAGCTGGCGTCAGGAGAGGATGTGGTGAGTCCCCAGGTGTCGTGGAGCACTCTTGGTGAGCTCACTCAGAAGGGCTTGGGCCCCACCCTCGAAGGAGCTGGTTCCTAAGTGTCCAGGCTGCCCGTTAGTGACGCTGGAGGTAGGTGTTCTCCTCCTCTCCTGGGGTCCCCATCAGGAGCCTGCCCGTGCTGTTCTGGGTGGTGATGGGGTGGGTCAGACCTGGTGGGAGTTCCAGGGGGCCGAGGGGAATTTTCTGAGAGGGCTCTGCTTTCTATCTGCTGCTGCTGCTGCAGAGGGGACAGTTGGGGGGAGCTGGACGGAGAGTCTGGAGCCTTGGGTGGGGGCCCTGGGCAGGTCCCTGCCTGGCCGACCTGGAGGCCTCAGGCCTTTTCGTCTTCCTGGACCATGGGAAGGAGCTGCACTTAGGGCAGCTGGGCAGACAGTACCTCAACACCCCGCCTTCTAGGAGTGAGGCTGAGCAGTGACACTGCTTCCTGCGGACCCATCGGGGCTCAGGGTCCCCACTTGTCCAGGGTCCTGTCTTCGTGCCCAGGCCAGCTTGAGTGCCACGTCCTGGTGCAAGGAGTGGGCCTAGAGGTACCGGCAGCACCAGTACCCTGTGACCAGACACCGAGGCAGTGAGTCAGAATGGCTGTCATGGTCTTGTCACCCTCTCCCCCAAACAATGGGAGCCGGAGCTCTGGAGGGCCAGGCAGCTCCCCGCAGTCACACACAAGCTACTTGTTCGGGGAAGACCCACGAGGGATGCATCGGCCAGGCCCACCTCAGGTAGTTTCTATTTCTGTAGACACTTGAAAGTCACAGCACACGTGACTTGTGAAAACCAGGGTCCTTGGGGGCCCCAAGAGCCTCCTGGGCATGGCAACTGCCCCTGCCAGGCTGAGTGTCAGCCCAGACTGTCCTCACTGCCTGGGAACTGAGGGTTCCTTCCAAGAGCCACCAGAGCTCTAGCCCTGAAGATGAGAGACCCTGGGGCTATCTCTGCTGGCTGCCCACACAGACCCTCGCAGGGACCCACACGTCCCCAGCTGGCCGTGGGACTTCCCAGCACTGCCCCCTTTCTGTTCCCCATCCCAATTCGAGAAGTGCTAGAGCTCATGTTGGCCTTTCTCAGCTGCTTTCTGTCCCTGATGACCCTGTTTTCCTTCTCTTCCAGAGACTTCCAAGACGTGCATACACACACACACTCACGCACACCTACTCAGTAGTTTCTGGTTTTGGGCTGGGCGGGTGTACAGACCCTCCAAAAAGACTCCTGAGGGCAGGCCTTCTTGCTGGAAGTGTGCTCCCCATGCCTCACATTCTGGTCCACCCAGAGGGCAGGGACCCCGCTGAGCTCCTCTCTACCCCAGGAACAGCACCCCTCAGCCACACAGGCTGCCGCAGCGGCCCCACCCCCTCAGCTCGCCCCGAGGAAGTTCAGACCCACAGAGGGGAAGTGGCTCTGTCCCAAGCAGGCAGGTGGCCAGGCCTGGAGGAGAAGTGACATTGCCCAGCTCACTCAGCTGCACTGGACGGTCCACAGGTAACAGCTGCGAGGCCATTTAGGGAAACCGAGGCACGGGGCCTCTGATCTGACCTTGCTCTTGTTAGATAGACCCTGGGAGACCTTCCTGAGGTCAGTGGGCTTTGTGGGCTCTGTCCCACCCACCCCCCCGCTCAGCGGGCTGCTCCCTGTGATGGGACAGGGCAGGCCCCAGGTGTGCTTCGTGACAGCTGCAGCAGCAGGCAGACCCGGTTTGTCCCCGATCGTGGGTGACATTTTTCTATAAACCCTCAGCTTCCTCTTGGTCTGAGTCAGGGTTTCAGTGGGAGTTCGGTGGGGGAGCTCCTGCCGGCAGCCCTGGAGCTGTTCCTTGGGGCTGGCTTCGCGTCAACACCTTTCCCTGCCTCCTCATCGCACAGGAAATCACCACGCACCCTCAGGGATAGAAGACTGTGGCGTGTCAGGGGTGTGCAGGGGACTCAGGCCCCGCCACTCACCGGCTGTCACTTCCCTAGCCTCAGTTTACCTCTGTGAGGGGTGCAATGGTATTGGTTCCTCACAAGGCTCTTGAATGCAGTATACAGGGGGTCTGCCTGTTTCCTGGTGAGCCCTGACCAGCTGTGGCTGTGGTCATCTAATACTTGCTCTTTTTTATTTTGGTTCTTTTGAGACAGGGTCTCACTGTGTACTTCAGGCTGTTCTTGAACTCACTGTGTAGCCCAGGCTGGCCTCAAACTCATGGGGATCCTCCTGCCTCAGCCTCCTGAGTGCTGGGATTACATGTGCAGGACACCATGCCCGGCCTAAAGATTGCTCTTGAGCCCTAGCACAGGGTTTCTTGGAGAGGCTGGGAGGGAAGATGCAGCAAGAATTAGAACTGGAAAATTCCAGATTTGTCCTGGACAGTGAGGTCGCAGGTCAGGAATCGTCTGCTGGGCTGTCGTGGGCTGGGCTTTGTGCTGCCCATGACAGCGGGGATGAGACAGGGTTCCGAAGTGCCCGGGATGTCCCCCACTCCGGGGAGGTGTTGCTCTGCTCCTCCCTCTCCCCTTTCTTCACTCTTTGCTCCTGTAGGGCTTTCCCAGGGACCACTTTTTACGAGGCTCGCCGAGTTAAAGGTCCATGTCCTGAGTTGCTAGGGGACAGAAGGGACACTCCCATGTGGTACACAGATAACACCTCATGGTCCCCACCTAGCCAGAGTGGGTAGATGATGTGGGAGACCGGGGATGTGGGCATTTGAGGGAAGGGGTGGGAGTTTTTGCCGTGGAGGGAAGATGTCAGTGGAAGGGGGAGCAGGCGGGGTGGGGCCGGGCAGACCCAGGAGTGAGGAAGGCAGATAGATGCTTTCGGGCAGACCCAGGAGTGAGGAAGGCAGATAGATGCTTTGCTGGTGCTGCTGTAGGGCTGGGGGCGCTGGCGGAAGGCTCAGGATGTGAGCCTCAGCTGGTCCCTTTCTGCCTGTTGGACCTTGGGGAGTCTCTTCAGCATCCTTACCTGTGAAATGGGCACAACAATAACACCCCAGGAGTGTGCCCGTCCCCTCCACAGAGCACTTGGCATGGAGCCAGCCTCACATTCAGTCCCCACCCAACTCCAAACCTGCTCTTCTCCCGCAGAGGCAGTGTCAGGAGCGTGTGTTCCTGTGTCCGCGTCCCTTGCACCTTCTGCCTCCCTGTGTCATGGCCCAGATGCCCAGGCTGGGCGCAGACCTAGGGGTTATGTCCACGGCTGTGGCAGGTGACTGCTAGCCAGTGGGTGTCTGAACCCAGCTGCAGCCTCCCGTGCTGCAGCCCCAGGATAGGAGGATCGGGGAGGAAGGTGGACGGGGTGGCTCTGTCTGGGCGGGTCCCTGGGCCCCCAAACTGCACACCACATGCAGAGCCTGCTTTGCTCTCCCGTGGTGGGAAGTGACCATCTCCGAGGGGGACGCCCCGCACAGATGGGGTTCTGCATCTGAGCTGTGCTGTCTCTGTGGTCCGGCCTCTCTGGAAAACCCAGGCCCAGGGAAGGGGGCAGGAGGAAGGCTGGGCTGGTGCTGGGTTTCGGGCTCTCAGTTGTGCACATGCAACCTGGCAGCTGTGCCAGGTGGACTACGCCTGATCGGGGCCCCTTAGGGCACCTGGGGGCACAGGAGCCACAGGGCCTGGTAACTGCACAGTCCAGAAGGTGGCATCAGGATTGGTAGCAAAAGCCAGTGTGGCGAGGCCAGCTGCAGGTGCCCAGGACAGTGCAGATGGGACCCCGGGACCACAAGAGAGAGAGAGAGAGCCCGGTTCCTTCCACACATGGGGCAGCTCTCTCCTCTTCATGGAAAAGCACAAAACTGATACATTGGAAGAAGATTCCATTTCAGGGTTAAACACAAACTAACAAAAGTGTCCTCTGTGAAGACCCTACCTCCTGTGTGAATTCCCTCTGCAACATTCTGGACAAACAGGTCTTCCTCATTGCTTGTATACCTCTGGTGACAGACAGCTCACTGCGCAGCAAGGCCTGTTGTCCGGTAGAGACATAGGTCTGCTAACGGCAGCGCGTGGACCAGGCGTGGACCCCCTGTGGGTCAGAGGGTCCTTGTATTTTCCACCACTTCCTGTGTCTTGGCCACCACTGGCGTCTGCACCCGCAGCCAGGGGCGAGCCGGCCTCAGGGCCAGAGAGATCGGAGCCACACAGTGCTTCTGTTCCTCTTCCAGAGTCTCTCAGAGTAGCCGAGGTTCCCCTCATTTCTCACTTTCCTGTTTACAGGGGGGAAAATGCACAGAAATTCCTGTTTTCATTGCAGCTGAGGCTGTGTCTGTATTTTGTGTGTAAATAGTTGTTCCTTGCCAATATTTCAGCAATTCCCTTCCGATTTTATCTGACCCATATGTTATTGGAGAGGCGGTGGGAGAGATTGCTTAGAGATGCCTGCTACACGTTAGTGATACCATGAAGTTGCAGCACAGGGGTTAGGACCAATAAATAGCTGTTTTCTCTGTGGTCGGAGAACTAGGAGTAGGAAACGGACTTCGTCTTTGGTGACTTTGGGCCCCGACATGGGATCAGTGTGCATCAGTTCCATCCCTTGATGAATGATTTTGCCATCCACCCCGTCTGCTCGTCCTCCTTATTAATTGAACTGCCCAGGTGTCCAATTTCTCTATTTACCTAGCAGCACTAAGGTTTCTGACTACGATTATTTTTCCATTTCCGCTCGCCTCTTTTTACACTTCTGGCACGTTCCCACCACCCTCTTCTGTGCGGTGCTTTTTGCAAATTCACAAGCTGCAAGTTCATGTTTTCCTTAACACTTTAGTGTCTCTGTAATTGTCTCGCTGTTCACTACAAAAACCCACCCTGTCGTATCTCCTTCTTTGCTCGCATGGCGTATGCCTGGTAAACCATAGATTATTCATCATTTCTCTGTGCCGTTTCATTTTTTCTGTCTTTCTTACTGGCAAAAGATGCTTGGATTTTTTTTTAAATGGGTGCTCCTTTTTAGGGTCTATTAACGTTAAAATTTAAAATAATATTTGTGTAGATCTCTACAGAGTTACTCCTCTGTCTATATTGAGATGTAGCAATTTTCACTTTCAGTTTCCAGTGTAAGTTTTCTCTTCTTTTTGTCCCTTTAAGGTAGGGAAGATAATTTAACCTAAATATCTAATTTGAACATTGTTAGTTTCAATTTTGCATTTATATATTTCTACTAATAGTTGACTGAAAATTGGGACAATTATAGTTTAGATACTTTTATTTTTGCCTCCTCTTCAATGTCAGTCTAGCATTTGGTGTCTTTTAGTTTTGTTTTTTTTTAATCCACGAAGGCTGACCTTTGAAAAGTTGACTTTTTGGGGGGAATACCAGGGACTGAACTCAGGACTTTGTGCTTGCCAGGCAGGTGCAGTGCCACAGAGCTAAATCCCCAGCCCTTAAAGGTTGCTGTTAAAAATCACAAGTGGGGTTCATGCCACTGTATTCTTGTCTCCTAGCAGGACCTGCTTTCTCTCTTGATGTTTCTAATTCTCTCTGAATAAATCTTTATGCTTTGCTCCCAAATTCCTCAGCTGGTACTTCTTTTTTGTTTTTCTCTTTCTTTGAGATAGGGTCTCACCATGAAGTTGACACTGACCTGGAGCTCACTATGTAGCCCAGACTGGTCTCGAACTAACAGCGAGATCCTCCTGCCTCAGCCTCCTGAGTGCTGGAATTACACGCATGCGCCACCATGCCTGGCTCAGCTGGTACTTCTTAAAGTGTTCATTTTTGACCTGGCAGGATTATGCATCGGTAGCTGACTCTGGTCAGCCTAACACATTTCTTTTAATTTTGTGGAAACCTCACACCTCACCATACCTCAAAGCCACACCCGACTACACTGTGTTTCTTTAATATTTAAGGGAAAATCGAAAACAATTCTTACTGTTTTCTCCCGGTGTTTGATATATTTCTAAAGAATCTTACGTTGTTTTCGTATTTCGTGCATCTGATGATATAATTAGAAAAGTACATCAAAATTGAGAGAAAAAGATAAAAGTTTCGAAAACCACTCACTATGTTAGAATGCAACATTGTTTGGTGTATGGAAATTTTTTTCTAGGTTTTTTTTCCTCTATGTGTGGGTTTTTTCAATCGTAGTTAAAATCACTCTGACTATGTAACTCTACAGTCTGTGGGTTTTTACATAACCTAGTCAGCATAAACATAATGTAGAAGAATTTTCCATTAAATAGATTTACCCTAGTAAAATTAACCTCTTGTTGGTATTTAAAAGTGTATATGTATTTTTTGCTATCAGAAAAAAGTACCAAAGCCGACATTTTTCTGTATATGGTTTTCCTTTCTTTCGCATACTTTGTTTCTGTTTTTGTTTTTGAGACAGGGTCTCATTATGTAGTTGAGACTGACCTGGAACTCACTATGTAACCCAGGCTGGTCTCGAACTCACAGCGATCCTCCTGCCTCAGCCTCCTGAGTGCTGGGATGACAGGCGTGTGCCACCACGCCCGAACTCTTTTGCATACTTGATGTAAAATTAAGTCTACGATTTATGGGGTG